TCCACGCGGTCGCCCACGTTGTGTAGTCTGTGGAGATGATTTGGTACGACACGTCTTGGTACAAATCTGGCGAGGAGAGAGAGGGGATTTTGGTACTGTTTTGGGTATTTGGTGTGTGGGGGTTATGGGTATGTGTGGATATTAGTGGGTATGATATGTAGATGGAGTGCATAAATTATGGTTATATGTAGATACAGACTGGTAGACGGGTAGAAAGATAGATACGCACACACACACACACACACACACAAACACTACACACACACACATACACACACACACACACATACACATACACACACACACACACACACACACACACACACACACACACACACACACACACATACACACACACACACACACACCACACACCACACACACACACACACACACACACACACACACACACACATATATATATATATATATATATATATATATATATATATATATATATATATATATATATATATATATATATATATATATATATTATATATATATGTATGTATGTATATACTCTTTTGTGCTACCCTAGCCTCCGTTCCTGCTTGATATCATTTATCTTATTATTTTTTTTTAATTTCTTCTAATTACCCAGTATTTAGTTTCTGCGTTCTTGATTTTTTATCTTTAATACTTAGCTCCATTGCTCTCCCGGTCATCGTTTTCTATTGATTTTTACTACTTACTCCTTTTTTCCCATTTTCTTCCTCTCATTCCTCTTTCCCGTTTTCTTCCTCTCGCTCCTCCATTTTCTAACACCTTCCTTTTCTTCAAATATTCTTTCTCTCACTCTTTCTCAGTTTCTTCCAACTCCTTCACATCTTCTTTAACCTACCCCCTCCTTCCCGTTTTCTTCCTCTCACTCCTCCGTCCCCAGTTTGTACTACCTGCCGTTTCTTCCTATTTTCTTCCTCTCACTTCTTCCCACTCCTTTCTTTAACCCTCCTTCCCCGTTTTCTTCCTCTCACTCCTCCTTCCCGTTTTCTTCCTCTCACTCTTCCTTCCTCGCTTCCTGTCCTTCTTCCCATCCCTATCTCGATATCCTTCCCCAATCTGGTACTCACTGGAGGGTATCCGAAGCACCATAGAAGCCGGGTTATTGGGGTTTGGATAAATCTGGGATTCGAACCGCAGATTATGCACAATTCCCGCAGCTCTGAGAGAGAAGATCTGCTTGTTCATCGTAAGGAAAAAGCTGCCACCATTTTCGCTGAAGGAGAGGGAGTAGCATCGCGAAGCTGTGTTGCTGCTCTGGATCACGTGCCATGTGCCTGCGAACTGGAATGAGGGAAAGGAGTATGTTGGTATGTTGGTTTTGGTTGAGGACTCACGTTTGTAAGTCATTTACCTGCTAATTGGAATGATGAAAAGGTATGCTGGTATGTTGGTTTTGGTTGAGGTGTGTAAGTCAACCTGTAATTGGAATGAGGAAAAGTATTTGTATGTTGGTTTTGGTTGAGGACTCACGTTTGTAAGTCATTTACCTGCTAATTGGAATGAGGAAAAGGTATGCTGGTATGTTGGTTTTCGAATGAGGGAAAAGTATGCTGGTATGTTGGTTTTGGTTGAGTACTCAACTTAACTGCTCACTGGAATGAGGAGAAGGTATGCTGGTATGTTGGTTTTGGTAGAGTATCCGGATTTATAAGTACTAGATATCTATGTGTATGTTTGTGAGGTGTGTATGTTTATGCATGCTTATACGTGTATGTTAATTTATGTGGGATTTATATTGTGTATTAAAAGCAATACGATTTTCAAAGAGGTCCCCTTTTGGCCAATGTAGTTGCATACCAAATTTTGCTGACGAAAACACCATGTTAAATGTCTGTAAACGGTGGAGCTGTGCAAGAGTCCTTATAGATTATTTTAGCATCAGCTATTTACTTTAAAATTGATCTACATATTCCGTTTCTAATAAGACAACAATGGCATAGTCACTAAACCAAAACTATAAATAAAACCGAGGTAGGATCTCCACTTGAAAATAGAAAATAGTTATAAAACCTTTTTTGTTCTACCCTACAACCTAGAAAGTTGCCTAAAACACTTGAAAGCAGCGTGGAAGTTTTGTAAACGAAGTTAATACACTTAAAGCGCACATCTTCGTCTATTCCGCCAGCTTCTCACCTGGGCAAAGGCGAAGTTCGACACTGGATTCACAGAAGGACACTCTCCCGTTTTGAAGATGTAGGACCCCACAGGACGCGTCTGGAGGAGGAACACCAGAAGGAGGACACAGCACAGCGCACCTCCAGAAGGCGCCATGCTCGAGTTTCACCCCCAGAGAAGACCAAAACAAACAAACTTCTTTTCCTTTTTTTGTGAAGTCCCTCTCGAAGAATATTCGAAAATTTTCGAAAAATATCTCAAACTTGCGGAAGACACAAGGCCGGAGTTCTCGAAAATATTTAGAACTTGCAGGAGATACAAAGAAAGTTCCTTCTTTAAGCGCGATCACATTTTTTTCCAGTCTTCTGCCATTGTCTCTCTCTCTCCTTCACGTCTACACTATACGGTAGTTGGAACTGGACTGCTATGACCATAAGCTGGCTCTTCCCTTCTAAATAAGGTCATGGTAGTTTTCACTTTCCCCCTAAAACCGAGGGATTTCCAACAGCCTCGGATTGGAGGTCAGGTGTCGTAACATAGGGAAGGGGTAGGGTGTGAGTTGAGCTCTGCACACGCATCTCTCTCTCTCGCTCTCTCTCTCTCTTTTCTTTCTCTCTCTTGCAAATGCCATTGATCACTCTCTTTTCTCTCTCTCTCTCTCTTTTCTCTCTCTTCTCTCTCTCTCTCTGTATGCGTAAGAGCTGAGGTAATGATTGCAAGTTGGTGTGTGTGAGTGTTTTTGTGTATTTGTATTAGTGCGTATGTATTTGTATCTGTTCGTGTGTGTATTTGCGAATGTTTGTATGACTGCATAAATGCCTTTTCATCCGCTTGTATATGTGCATGTACGTTTCCCTATGCCAGTTGAATAGCATACACGCGTTCATATGCAAATTAGGAAGCGGGGACAGGAATAGGATGGAAGAAGGGGTGGCGGGGGGAAGGGGGGGGGGGGAGGTGGACAGCGGTCATCCACACAGCTAAATAAAACCAACCATTTCATGCTTGCTTCCGGTGTGAGTGTCTAGCGCCAAACACAATTCACGCAAGCAGGAAAAGTGTGTTGTATTGTGGAAAGCCTTGTCCATTTAGCAAGCAGAATATACTAGGCGAGAGAAGAGCGGACGGAAAGGGCCAGTGTCAGGAAGTCGTTGAATTGACAGCTGTAGAGACACGTCAAATAGAAAATAGGATATGAGGTCAAACATGCATATGGACACACACACACACACACACACAACACACACACACACACACACACACACACACACACAAACACACACACACAAACCCACACACAAACACACACACCATCCACACACACAAACACATACCCCGCTATTCACAAACAACGACGATCACCGACACACACCATACACCCATCTATACATAGATTAAAGAACTGAACCATCTCCCTCCATCCCTGAAGTTCAAACCTCACAACCACACACAACAAAACTTCAATCAGGTACTTGTAAATGCCATTAAGTCACGTGATCACAAATAACCTTCATGGCTGACATTGTTGTTGGCTCGACAGGAAGGCTGAAACCCTAATCTCACCTGCAGGGGAACTGCAGGGCATAGCGAGGGAGGAAGGGTGGAGGGGGGGGGAGGAGGAAGGGGTGGAGGGGGAGGAGGGAGGAGGAAGGGGTGGAGGGGGAGGGGGGGAGGAGGGGGAGAAATAAGGGGTGGAGGGGGAGGAGGGGAGGAGGGGGAGGGAAGGGGTGGAGGGGGAGGGGAGGAGGGGAGGAAGGGGTGGAGGTGGCATAGGAAGGGGGAGGGAGGGGGGAGGAAGGGGAGGGGAGGAAGGGGGAGGGGAGGAAGGGGAGGAAGGGTGGAGGGGGAGGAACGGGGAGGAAGGGTGGAGGGGAAGGAAGGGTGGAGGGGGAGGAAGGGGTGGAGGGGGAGGAGGGGGGAGGAAGGGGGGAGGGGGAGGAAGGGGTGGAGGAGGAGGGAAGGAGGGGGGGAAGGGGAGGGGGAGGAAGGGTGGAGGGGGAGGAAGGGGTTGGAGGGGAGGAAGGGGTGGAGGGGAGGGAAGGGGTGGTGGAGGGAGGAGGGGAGGGGGAGGAAGGAGGGGGGGAGGGGAAGGAAGGAGGAGGAGGAGGAAGGGGAGGAAGGGGGAGGGGGAGGGAGGAGGAAGGGTGAGGGGGAGAAGGGGTGAGGGGAGGAAGGGGTGGAAGGGGGAGGAAGGGGTGGAGGGGAGGAAAGGGTGGAGGGGGAGGAGGGGTGAGGGAGGAGGGGGAGAAGGGGAGGGGAGGAGGAGGAGAGGGGGGAGGGGAGGAAGGGGTGGGGGGGTGGAGGGGGAGGGAATGGGAGGAGGGGAGGAAGGGATGGAGGGAGGGGGAGGAGAGGGGGTGGAGGGGGAGAAGGAAGGGAGATGAGGATGAGTGGGGGGGGGAGTGGGAGGGAGGAGGAAGGAGAGGGATGAGGAGTGAAGGGGAGGGAGAGGGAGAGAGGGAGGAGGAGGAAGGGAGGAGGGGAGACGAGGAAGGAGGAGCGGAGGAGGAGGAAAGGAGGAGGGGAGGGGAGGAAGAGGAAGAGGAAGAGGAGGAGTGAGAGAAGGGAGGAGGGGGAGGGAAAGAGAGGGAGGAGGGAGGGAAGAGAGGGAGAGGGGGAGGAGAAGAGGGAGGGAGGGGAGGAAAGAGAGGAGGAGAGGGGGGAGGGGAGGGGGGTACTTCAATTAGCCTGGCCTTCGTTGGAAAGTGACCTCCAAATGACACAGGATAAGAAATCCGAAGATGAATTATCCATATGCATACATATAGACACACATAAGCATAAGTGTGTGTGTGTGTGTGTGTGTACGTGTAACCACGCGTATATAAAAACAAGCAGATATTTTGCTTTCTTTCCATACATTGCTTCATCCAACCTAA